CAAAATCATCACAATTAAAAGACCCAACGGCTTAAACTACTTCAGTCTGTGTGTACTGAATTTATATAATACACGAGTTTCACTATTTGAGTTGAATTACTGAAATAAATGGACTTTTCCACGTTATTCTAATTTATTGAGATGCACCTTGCATGATAAAATGTTAACCTTTTCTCAGCCATACAAATGGAAAGAGTTTCTTATCATCTCAAACAGGAAATGTTTACATTTTTCACCACTTTACATAATCTTGAAAGAGAGAAAAAAAAATCTATATACAATCAGTACAACTGTTAACTGTCCAGACCCCAGCTGTGTGTCACTGTATCGCTGAAGCATGGGCTCACTCTGTTTGCCTTCAGCATGTATTTTCTCTCTGGTCTCTGTTTAGACACGTTTCGGTTAGCTCCTATAATGGAAAACCCCCTAAATACTGTGTCTAGTGTGTTGGACCTGACTGTGGCAGTGCGGTGGAGCTGGAGCATTTCTACTGAGCCCGTTGGTACCTTTAGCTTAAAAATAGGTGACTCAGTAGTTAAAATAACCCAGGCCTGATAACAGGCTTCCACTGTCACTCACATTGGCAGAAAGGTCTGTGTTCTCTGTGCCAGGCCATCCAATTTGTTTCCATTTACAGGTCAAAACTGTGGAAGTACCATGTCTAGTTTTTCAAAGTACTTTAGTTTTGCTTGGGTCTGTGGCAGGTTAACTACAAACCCTGTATGATTAGCATTAATATTTTTATCCCCATTATTAGTGTAACACTGAACATATGTATTTATCCTGGACAGTAAGTTCAATATATACAAGATTAACAGCAAGCACAGAAGGACACTTAAATCAAGACAACGCAGCGCTGGCACATTGTTTCACAGCATCACTCTTTCAAAGCTTCGCGCTCAGGCTGCCTATGAACATGAACACAACAGAAAGTGGCCCTCCCAGCCGAGAAATTCAGGATGTAAGACCGCCAATCAAGAACCACATCTTGATGTGCTAATTCATTTGTCTTTCTTTCTCCTGACTGCAAAGGTGTAAATGTTTACAGCTTGATGCAAAGTGGTTAAAGTGTTACATAGTTTTATCCACAAAAAAAAAGCAAACAAACAAAAAAAACACGTTAGTATCTTACAAATATTTAAAAAAGTAAACCTTTATCTATAGGCATTTTAAAATATGTTCCATCAAAAATAGTCTCACCAATTTCAACAGTAGAAAAGAAATGTTATAGAGGTGAGTTTAGGTTTGAAGCTAAGAGTTTACAGTAGAAAGGTGTCATGACAGACTGACTTTATAGGTTCAACTCCTCCTTTTTTACCTGGCGGAACACAGACATGATTTTATCTCCACCTTGATTACTGTTTAAAACCATGCAGTAACTCTAAAGTAACAACTCCATAATTTAGCAAAAGAATTCTCTTGATAAAAGTCGACAAATCCTTTTCAGTCCCTACGTGTATAATAGTGTTACATAGCGTTGTCCTGTGAAAGCTTGTCACCTTTGGCAAACTTGGTTAGCTGGATTTCAGTCACACTGAGGGCTCAGAGCATGAATGTGGCGGCCCCGTGGTCTGGCGAACTTCGAGTTCAGTCCCACATGTCACGTCTTTCACTCAGCACAATGCCCCCCATCGTCCTCTCTCTTCTCAGATCACAAATGATGACTTGTGTCGGAAATCCCCCTGCATGGAACACATAACCATCAGCAGCAATGTTTAAGAAAGAGAATCCGAGTTCAGTTTTACTGCTACACAAGATGGGAATTAGGACTAGAACAGTTTAAGCACACAAGTAGGTGATGAGCCACACTTGGTGTCTATACATGCAGAGCCAGGGCAGTCCCAGAAACCTCATGAGGCAAAGAGCCTCGGTATAAGTGGCTGGGACAGATTATCACAATCAACAGGCCCATATTATACGTGTCCAAATATTAATACAAAAGAACAGAACCAAAACAAAAGGCACATATTACAACTGGCACAGGGCTTGGACATATCAAATGAAACAAACTTTAAACAGCACAAGACACAAGGTGCTATGTAAAAACTGAAGCATGACACCGGATAAAAACTTAGAAGTTATGTTTATATAGGGGTTCAGACAACAACAGTGGCTGCTGTTGCTTCCAAACACCATGATAATAGCAACTACATGTTTGGTCAGTTCATAACCATATATATGTTCTTAGAACATTGACATTACAACATTAAGAAGTATTGATTTTTTGGACATTATTGATTTTTTATTTCTTGTGATGGATATTAGACTTCTTAACAATTCCTTAAAGCAGATACATTTGATCCAGAATCTCACTCACAACTGTAACAGCCAGTGGTGGAATGGCCTTTGAGCATGACTCCATTCCCCAGGCAGATTAGCTGGTTGCCAATGCACTCAGCTAATGGAGATCCTTTTAAATAAACAAATAAATGTACAAATTCTTTGACCCATCCAGATTTACACACCTCGTCCTCCGTCCTGACGTAGTCTACTCCATCTCCCTTAGCTGGAACTTTGTAACTAAAGCACACAAAGCACATAATGGTTTTATGTGGTGCAGGTTAAAGAGGAATACATGTGTTTGATCATGATTTAGGAGGATGTCCTGACATCTTACTTGTTCCCTGTTTGTGTTTGACTGGAGAAGTAGCCTCGCTTGTATGCGCAGCAAATCCCCACTGATATACATAAGAGCACTACGACCACCACCAGCACTCCCAGTATTATCCCCACCACATCAATGTCATCTGTGGGGTTCAGGCCAGAAGGGAGATATTAGACACTTTCACACACACATGGTGTCAAATCAGCCCTGCCTACCTGGTTCGTCATCACACAGAACATTCATTTTACAGTATCTGTGACACACTTACACACTTCCATCTTCTGGGGCGGACATTCAGCGTATCCTGCATCATTTCTTGCCCGGCAAAAATACTCGCCTGCATCTTCTTTTCTGACAGCAATAAACTTCTGCATGGGAGAAACACAAAGTGGCTAATTAAACTACTTAACTCCGATGCAACTCCATAGCTGAAAAACCAATACTGTCAATGTTGTTTACTCAGTAGTTGTTTATAAAGCTTTTTAGAACAGATTCATGGCAAAATCTATGACGATTTTTAAAATAAATAAGGGCAGAATAAAGTCACAGAGGATCAATATTGGTGCAGTCAACAAGGAAGGAAACAACAGCACTGACAGCTGCTTTGAGTCAAGGACTGACATCCGTGCCACATTTTGGATAACAGACCTTATCATTGGACTCAAACTGTGGAAAGTGAACAGAAATGAACTTAATGCTGTTTGTTCCCGATAAACTGAGCTGTCAAAGGTGTTCATTCCTCATATCTGACTGAATCCTTTTGGATCCAGTGCAGAAAGACAAGTACAAACATAACTTTACAAAAAAATGAAGCTCGACTGCAGTGCTGTCAGACTTTAAGGCAACATACCAGACGAGCTTGCGGTCCTATATTCCACTGGCATTTGAAACACTACAGTCTGCTGCTCTGTGCAATTACATCCAAACTCGCTGCACTCACTATTATGTGGTAACACAGGTGAATGGAAAACATTAAGTCTGATGTAGGGTTTAAACAGGATTTCTAAAATAATAAAAATTACTGTTGGCGTTTTCCTTCTGGTACCTTTCTACTGTAGCTTTCCCTTTTCTTTTCTTTCCACCTTCTTTTTTATGTGTAAATACAATCATGTATAAAAAAGTGTTATTTTCCTTTGAAATCTGTTTTCTGTTAAAGCCAAACTTTATACAAACATACAAAAATAACACTGTTAGAATATATTTATTGATTATGAAAAAACCTTCAATACATTTTCTTCAATTGTCCAAAATAATGAAACTGAAACTAATGTAACCTAATTTCATACATAATAATACTAACTCAGTTTGTGGACTTTCCTCACTATGGGAGTAGTAAGGGACCAGTGATAACGGTGTTGTCTATCAACAGTCTGAAAATGAGCCCAAGTGAGATAAGTCCAGCAGAAAAACAGGCCTCATTAGTTAACAGCTAGGACTTGCAACACTTGCACTAGAGTTTCACATAAAGACACACGCTGTGGTTTGCTGTGATTTGTCACATGTTAGAGGCCAGTGTGAAGCCTGACAGGACAGAGTTCCGGCGGAGCCACTGAAAAGATCGAGCTGTGCTGGAAAGCAAGCAAGAAATGAGGAATGTGCAAACGAGAACAGCAGATTCCCCACGTGGCTCGAGCCCTCTCGCACCATCAACTGTCTCCTCAAAATATCTATCCCCACCCCCGGGCGCCAGGCCACCGTCCCCGCTGCCCTGACCTTCCTGTTCATGCATGTCCTTGTCCAAAGACACGCACACACATACGAACCAGAGCTCCTGTTTCTGGACTGAGGGTATATGAGGAGTTGATGAACTTGAGGCTGGTCTTTGGGTCGTTGGGAATCCCCTCCCTGTTCTTGAACCACTGGTACTGAGATTTGGGGAAGCCCTCGTCCTCCACGCAGCTCAGCTCAGCTGACTTCCCAAAAGGCACAGATTTGGGGACACTGCATTTCGGCACCACTGGCTTTACTGTAGTGACACAAAACATGATCATTTTCACTATAGTGAATCTTCAAGCGGAGCATCACAGCTATTCTGCTGTTGCTAGGCCTATGACTGACTCTGATGCTTTAAAAAAACAATGTCAGCCTGAACCCGTACGGTTCACTGGACCGACAGCATTGACAGGACCAGACAAGTACATGATTTTTAGGCCTGTGCCAAAAACACCACCAAAACATGCAGTGCTCGCTTTCTTTAGAACTGCAATTCAGAGCAGATGCAGTTTCAGAGGTTTCCTGTTATAGCCCAGAACGCGCCTATGCAGCTGGGCAGGTCTGGTCATAACGCATCCTCCTATGTATGCCAAAGGGCTGGTGTGGCCTACAACACGGTTTCATCTTACAGTGTCTAAAATGTGAATCACAAAGCAAGAGCTCTCTGCTAAGGGCATGATAATGTCATTTCTTTGACTCTAAATACAATATAGGCCTTAAATGCACACAAATATTAATCAGTACCTCTCACAACAAGGTCAATCACAATTTCATCAAATGACTTCTGGTCTTCAACGGCCGTAACTTCACAACGATATTTGGCTGTGTCCGATCGTGTGGCGTTAGTTATCAGTAACGTGGCAGGTTCCCTGATCTCCGCTCTGCTCTCCAGGTCCCCTGTCGAAAGGAAACCATGTTCAACAATACATGTAGAAGCTGTAAAAATTACAAGATACTGATATTTGACTTGCCTGTGCATTGTTATACATTACCTGAGATCTTCTTGTCAAAAAACACATAACTGGGCCCTTCATTTGTTATCTTCTTCCATTCAATTCTGGGATTTCTTGTAGTAATGGACTGAATCACACACGATAACTCAACTCCTGCAGGATAGAAGAAAATGCAGTGATAACACAGATAGGAATTCAAGCTTGATGTGTAAAAGACACACTGGTTTTGCATTTTTAAGGCTGTATTTGCTCCTTATCTCTTACTGCCAAACTCATCGGTCCATGGTGAGTGGTTATCTGTTCTCAGTACCACTGCTAACACGCTGAGGTAGCCTGCAAAACAAAAGAGAAGCAGAACAACTTCAAATCATGACTTTTCATGATACGGTGAGGATCTAATGCGTCATTATGCACAATAGAAGCTGATGACCACTGATGTGTTTTGCTTAAAATAAGCACAGCACATTCTTCTCAGAAATGCCTCTACCCCAGTTGCTGAGCTGACATGTCACAAACATATTTAAAGTGAACATAAATATCAATCCCACACCAGTGTGATGATCTTAACATCCTCATCTTGTGCTGTTAGGATCCATTTTTAATGTGTTGGTCAAACTGTTTCTCTGTGCAGTGGATAATTGTGCAGGGAGGCATGTGCGCTTTTCAGGGAAAACTCATCATGCCAGTAGCTGAACTGCCTACCGAGCACTCCCACTTCTCTCTCTCTGTGGGCCTGATGCTGTAGCCCATGTGGGACTAATGGTGCAAAGGCACCCTGGAAAGATCTATGTTGGTATGTGGGAGAGGGACAGGGCCTTGGGAGGGGGCACTGCTGAATCATCATGACAGCCTATGGTCCATAAACAAATCCACATGAATGTTAACTGAGGCACACACTCATGAACAGACAGAAAACGATGGCCCAACTCCCAGTGTCAGGGGCACTTGTGCAGATTGTACTACCACTGAAGACCTATGGAATGCTTCATCTCCATTTGTGCAGCCTCCCCTGCTGCCAACTCTTCCAACTAATTGAGCCTTAAAAAAGAAACAGGTAATTAATACTATTCATAGCTATGGTCCTGGATTTTTTTTTAACCGAACATACACATCAACAAGAAGCTGCAACACGATTAGAAAGAGACTCAAAATGAGTCAATGAATCAAAATAACCATAAACATAAAATGACATAAAATACAAAGGGATGCAAAACACATTCTTATTCCTTTTACAAACACGCCTCCCTACTTTGTCTGCCAACAATCCCTAAAGCTGTCCCTGAATGGTGTAGATTGTGCACACAGTATGTAGGTGCAGTCTACTTATTAGTGGTGGAAGTCGTGTTGGGCCTTTGCTTCAAAGGAAACAACTTGGAGATAACCTGACCTCCACCAACTGTCATCTAGACACACAGCAGTGTCTCGGGTCACCTGCTACACCACACAGGGTAAGCTGATTAGCCCACGGTCTTCCTGGAGATCATGACAAGACAACAGCTTGTCTATAGCTGTCGCTGACAACACTGCATGGAGGTCAAAACATTTGACAACACAGGATCTACCCTTAAGAAGCTCCTTGGAAAGTTTCATGTTTACACTGACTTTGTGAGCTTCAAGCTCATTTCATGACTGTTTATGATTAATCTGGTTTTGCCAGAGGTTTGGACATAGTACAGTCATTTATATAGCCAGGCTTTGCTCATATGCTCATTGTGTTCAATTTTACAGGAAAGCAGAGACAAATTTGTTTTCTGAAAACACCAAGCATGTTGGTGACAAATAACAGGATTAAGAAAGCTCTTCCATTAGAAAGCATTGGTCTGAGCAGCCTTAAATCCAAATGAAAGAGACTCTCCAGGACCAGCTCCAGGATGCTGCTCTGTTGCTGACCCTAAACTCCCAGGGGCCAAAAAATAAAATAGAACAAGTATTGTAGTATCACATTTGAAGCTAAATGCAGGGAAATACAGCTTGACAGTTAGAGCCTAGGAGAAGAATGAACTGTTACTTTCAGGAAATGTTTGATTTAGCTTTACACCTCCAGATGTAATTGACTGGGTACTGTGATACAGCAACAAAGGCAACAAAGTTTGGTCCCGTCTGGATAAAGTTTAGTTTTACAGCAAAATAAATAAAAGAATAAAAAGCCTTTTCAAACTGAGAACTTTCACAAAACACCACCAGTCCGCTGTGTGTTTTGGAGCACTCCTTGCACCGTAGCTACATTCATGTGCAAATCTCTTTTGATGAAAACTGACTGAAGGGTAATCATTTGTTTAAACTGGAAGGGAAGAATATGACTGAATCCATGTTTACACAGTTGCCTGCTCTCCAAAAAAATCTGGCCAATTACATTCAATTCATATATGTTAGAAGGGATATACAATTTTTAAGAAGGCTTCTGACAAAAGCTTGTGTATGTGAGGCATGTCAGTGCTTACTTCTGCTTTAGGTTTCAAATGCACTGCATACTGTGTAACCTCTCACTAAACTTAACTAGGCCAAGTATGCCAAGAGTCCAAAATATCCAAATATGCTGCGTTGAAATCAATCCTTAAGTTGACAACAAATTATGCCAGCTGATTAATTTTGTATTATGACTTTCCATCCAACACAGTTTTATGTAGTAGGGTTTACCCAACCTGTTTATCTTGGGAATGTAGATTGGACAAATCAAGATGTGAAATTGTTACCCAGGCTCTGAAAATACTGTACCTGGCAGATTAATCAGTTAATGACAATAACTGCTAGCTGCAGGGCCGGTAATTGGCATGAGTGCTAAATTCTGAATCATTACTGTCACAGAGAGTGGGTGAACAAATGAAGTGACAGTGTGCAGTAAATCTTGAAACATGTAAGTCCTTCAAACCAATGAACTTTCGTTATGCTCAGGACCATTTTCCTATTGTTATGGGAACCTGAAATATAAATACTGGAGCTGAAAACAAACACATAAACATACAGTAAAGGTGCAGCTTTGGATTTCGGTGACTCCCTTGCTTCATCCTTCCTTCTTCCAAGTGGGAAACAGCCAGAAACAGCTGGACCATCTAGTAGAGTATCAGGAAGTGCTGACTGTGTGTTATGAGAAAGGTGTTTCCCATCTCTCCTCCAGTTTGTCTGACACATCCTTTACTGATCATGTCCTGCCCATCCTGTCTGTCTTCTTGTCTCCTTGAATGGTCTCTAAGGTCTTGCCCTCACCTCCTGTACCAATGGAACAGCACCTGACCAACTCTGCAAGATGTGATGTAGACTATTAGCTTTTAAACTAAGCAGGTGCTCAGTGACCTACATATGCCATGAGTGTTTCCCATCTGTTTTTCCTTCTTGGTTGGACGCAGCCATGTGAGATCTGGTGATCTGCAAATCTGCATAAAAATTGTTTTTTAATCTTCCTTACCATCTCCATGATGGGCACAGAGTTTCCTCTGTAATCTTAATGTAATGCCCCCATACCCCCCTGGTTTTACAGCAAACAATAATGCAGTAGACACAGAAGGGCTGAGTACTTCTTGATGCCTGTACTGTGTAATGAATACCTTCTTTTTTCTGTTGCCCCCCCAGGAAACTGCTGCTCAGTGAATCCAGAGAGGTGAGGCTGCCATCATAAATAGAAAGGTTCAATTAAGCAACAGTGATATTCCCTGTGGAGCGTCTCTGTCTATTCCCACACCCGTCTGTAAGCTCACACATCAAAGTACACACACCTAGTTTCATCAGCCAGTTGCTGTTTGAGAACTCTGCACAAATCTGACTGCTGCTTAAATTGCACATCTCATCTGAGTATGGACATGTGTGTGTAAATAAGATGTTGACATGGACAACCATGAGGCTGTATTTTATTCATTATTCTAGATTCCACAAGGAAGAGTGTTATCTGTCCAGTGAGGTCAGATTGAGCAACTGATGTTCTTCCTTGTCTGACAGAAATAACCAGTGTCTCAATAAAACACTGCTGCTCCTTGACCAGACATATCAGCCATTTGTCCAAGACTGTCTCCTCCAAATGATTTTTAAACAGTTTATATACTGTATGTGTCACACAAAAAGCAGAAGGCGAGGTAGGAGCATGTGCATCCTGTAGGCCAGGCACATTCGCTGCATGTAGCTAATATTACATGAACAACATGGCCTAGATACCCCTGATGTGAGCTCAGCACAGTGTTTCCAGTTTAAACATAAACAAGCGATGAGGCTGGTGAGGAGTGAAAGCACGCTCCATTATTGTGGCAGAGGAATGAAAAATGTAAATGTTTAGTGCGACTCAACTGGGAACCCTAGTTCATCGTTCTCCTGGTGTTACACAGTGTATAATAAACACTTCACCCTGCGCCGCTTGTTCTCTCCAAAACCTCTGGATAAAGAAACTTGACTACAAGCTAAAAAAAGACTAAAATGAGAAACATGTTAATCATCACATCAAACAAAAATCCAAGTTAACAAGAAAGCAGAAGCTGGCAAACAAACAGGTGATTAACAATGTAAACCTGTGAAGTTTAATAATCAAATGAAGTAGGGTCACACAACCTGTGAACCTCTAAACATTTACAATACAGGTCTGTATACTGTATACTTTGAAATGGTAAAAAGAGTAAAACAAATACATTTTTTCTCATCAACATAATAATATTGCATGTCCTCCCTGAGCAGCGTTTGTATCCTTTCAGGAGTAACTTTAGCCCAGTCTTCATGGCATACTTGTTCCAACTATTGGTTGTCTGCTATGTACAGCCCTCTTTTGTTACTCATTTCCTCATTTTTCAAAATAAACTGCATGACCAGCTCTTTCTAATGATGCAAGTACTGTGCAACAAACATTTGTGAGGTAGCCTAATCAGGTTTTGAAATGACTAAACTTAGACAAGTGACAGGCTATCATATCAAACTTTTTAATTTTTAAATTACATACTGATAGTCACTCCAACCGACTGTAAATGTGGTCATATTTATATAACACCCACCACCACCACCACCTTCACTGTGCCACTGCTGAAAAAAGATCCTAGCAGAAACACTGAAAGCTGTCAAATCATGCGAAATACACCCCTTTTATATCATCAAATAGCTTATTAAAAGCAAACTTACCGGAAAAGTGACCATTTGTATACAGATCGGTGTGATAATATCTACCAAAAACCACAAAAATCACCTCAGGGGAAAAGTGTGTCTGATCTGTACTTAGAGTTTTTTGTTTGGCCATTTTGCCAATATGGTGGGGCCACCGGTGGATGTCAGGCAAGCTGACATGAGCATGCAGCTGCCTGGAGATTATGACCATTCAGTGAAATCCGTGAACTTTCATGTAATACTTAATTTTGTTAGAAAAAAAG